ATCATCTTGCAGTAGGCATGTTGAGAGCTGTGCTCTCAAAAGTTGTTTACGCGGGGGCAAACTGGCTTAGTTATATGAAGAAGAGGCTTGTCACTCGCGTGATTCTCGTGAAAAAGTATTTAAGAAGCAGCGGCTAGTGACTGGTGGCATTGTATCATAAGGTCATTACAAGGTTAAATATACAGAACCTCTATTCAGGCGACTGAAACTCAAATCCAGGACATGGTATGACCAAGCCATCGGGTATCAACACGGCATAAGAACGTCAGTGCGCCGAATAGAAAACAGATAGAAATCATGCTGCTTGGAACACCACCGTTCACGAAAGCGCTTCAATAGGACTATTTTAATACAACTCACATCGTTACTCGCTCTCCCAGGGATCTCCTCCTCTACCCCTCTCGTCATCCGACTCAACCTCATATGTCGTGCCCAGGGCCTCCTTGCCCTGGCGGATCATGTCCTTTAGTCGGGCATTGAAATCACTGATGCGAGAATCAGCCTCCATCTCTTCCTTCATCCGCTTTGCAGCTAGGCTTCTGGCTTTAGCATCGAGCCTTGGGCTATTGTCTTGTATCTCGTGTAAAGAATCTCGTTTCGTCATCTTCACCTGTGCAACCGATGATGCCGAAATAGCACTTTGGCTCCTCCTGTGACCGCGCTTCGCGTAGGGACTAGGACTCGGCATCCGAGATGGCTGCTGAGCGAATGGACTAGCTGCAGAGGTACAGGGAGACTGTGGCCGGCTGAGAACTGGAATTCTGCTGGGGGTCTGCGCCCTTACCACCGGTGATGCAATTGGGGATCTGGGGGATGCAAAGCTTGCAGGCTCACGATGCGCAATAGGTCCAGAACCCGCAAGCCTTGGTCGGTTGGGAGGATGACGATTAAAGTTGGGTGTGTTTAGACGGCTCACGGGTTTGCTGATGCGACGTACTAGTGCCGGTGCAGTTGTTCGTTGTACTGGGCGGCGTGACGACGCTCGTGATGCAAGAGAAGGCTGTCGGCTCGCATTGGCCGGCTCGCTGATCATGACCCAGTTCTTCTGCAGTTCATCATTGGGTGTCCCATACGATATCTGCCTTCGTTTGGCCGCTGGCGGCGGTGTTGACTCGGGTGTTTCGCGTTCATAGTGGAATGGAGAATAATCGGACGGAGGGAAGCCTCCATGGAGAGGGCTAGGATCTAGTTCAGGTGATGCCGCACGATCTTGTTCATCACGCCAGGCCTGGCCGCTTGGTGGTTGCCTCTGTGCTGCCTCCGACATTTCATATCCTCTGCCACCCCCTGCGTAAAACCCACGAAACGCGCCAGTCTTGCAAAATTCCCAGACTCTGCCTACAACACCGCCAATGGTATTAATTGCAAAAGAGCTCCAACCAGTGGAAGATTGATTGCCTGAGTCAATTGCCACGGGTTCCGATGAAGAAGAGTCGACGTCACCACACGATCGCTTAGGTCCGAGGGCACGCCTGTAGTCAACGTCAGAATAGACGCTATCTTCAATATTTCCAAGCTCTTTCTGCACGGTTCCATTTGGGGTCTGTATCGCACCGGCTAAGACATATCGCCTCTCCTTCCCGGTCGCGCCTAGGCCAAAGCTGGGGTGGAAGTTGGAGTGGTCGTCCATGATACTATCGGCATTGAAAGTGGTGTCGCCTGTCATTGCCCAGTCACTGATGGGGGTCGATTCTCTGGCACCGATTCGTTTCCTCTTAACGTTAGGAATGGGTGTCACTACATCGGATTGCAAGCTTGCGGTAGATCTCCCTAGATACATAGAATTCGATATAGAGGGCGATACTGGGGGTCGAAAGATACCGGGATGCACGCCTGAAAACGAAGAGCCTCTACCGCCGCCACCATTTGGTACATCGAAATGAAAGTTACCCGACATAAGGATCTGAGGGCCGAATGACATTTTGGGCAAGGTGTTCAGACTGGCGAATAGAGTTCGAGGCGAAGGCGCAGAAGGCTAGGTGAAAAACGCCAATCTTTTTCTACAAGGTGTCGCAATCGTCGATGTTTGTCAATATGTGCGCAAGGTACTGAATGTCGGAATCGCAGAGAATCGCTCGCTCGAGAAATAAATCAGATTTTGATGGTCGCAATCGCTCGTCGTCACTTGTCGTCGCTTTGCTTGTTTGCGCTAGGGTTGCTCGTATGCATCAAAGGTTTATCGCGGGGAGAAATGGGAGATGGGGATGGATGTTGGAGCGCGTGATCTGATTCTCTACCGCCGTTTTGAGTTCGTGTGGTATGACTGTTAAAGTAAGCCGATGCTACCACCGCTCTACCTACCCGAGGCAGCTAACTTGTGTTGTAACAGTGTTGTTCGATGCCTCAGGCTGTCGAGCTGTCTGCTTGTGCCGATTCAGATGGATAGATAGGTAGGTATTAAGGGATTTGATTGGAATAACCCGAGACCAAATGATGTCGATGTTTGTTTGTTGGTGCCGATCCCTTTTGCTAGAACCACAGCACAACAAGAACATATGACCTTATAGCTGCGAACTGGTCGTGTGACGTATGGAATGTAATATTACAAGAGTTTAAGCTGATAGCGAAAGTATTTGAGACCTGATCAAGCCGGCCCAGGACGAAGTGTTAGGGATGTGCAGGTTTGAAGTGGCCTTGATAGTTGAATCATTCAATGAAAGAGCTGATCTGGTGCATTGCCATCCCATCCCTATTGAATCTTGATTGATTAAAGGAGTTGGAATTGTTGTGGTTGCGTTGCTGGGCCAGCACTCACTACCTACAGTAATCTACGCTAGTCAATACCTACCTGGGGCAGCCTGGAACAGACCCCCCTGACAGGCCTGATATTACACGTTCCAGTACCTACCTAGGTACCGATAAGGTCCCCCCTGTCGCGGGGCATCGCGGGGCATCTCCTGGGGACCATTCACAAATCGTCTCGTCGTATGCTGTATAAGTAAGAGACACCAACATTACCTGAAGCACCATTTCATGTAAAAAGGGGCAATAGTATCGTCAATCATGGCCCTCGTATTTTGTATTATCCCTCGATAAATTCACCTTGGTAGTTGGGTATTGTCTAGTGTATCAGCAAGTTCCCCGTGCCTCTAATGATGCGCTCTATCCGCTTTCATCAAGTGTACCGCCCTGCATGCTGCACCACAGTGAGGTAAACTCCACCAAATCATGTCCCAGTGCAAATCAACCAAACCGTCTCAGCCGGTCTATAGCCCCATCATCCTTGATATGGCTGTGCTCAAGAAGGTATGTTTTTCTATTTATTGTAGTAAGCCTCCTGCTTATCAAGCTTGTCCACTTCGACACCACCGTCGACGCCTGCCTCGCCATGGACACGCGTCTTGGTACCCCAAAACTCGTCGCGCTCCTTGAGAATCTCTTCCGCCCACTGCTTCGTCTCTGGGAGCACTAGTCTTGTAGCCACGTACGCGAACTCGCCGAGATCAAGAGCCTTGTTGGCACGCTTCTCGTACTCCACCATCTGTGTCAGAAGTTCTATCTTGTCGACATCGTGCACGAAATGGCTGTCGAGCGTCTCCGAATCCTCGTATTCCTGCCAAATCGCCCGTATCTCCGTCCCCGCCAGTCCGCCGTATACTTTTCCGAGTAGGTTCTTCGATATGTAATCCATCGTCTCCGCCTCGCGGCGGCTCTTCTCCGGCTTCGCGACGCCATCAACAGGTGTGATGTCACCCACGATGGCCTCCGCCATATCATGAACGAGGCACATCTTCATGCACTTAAAGAGGTCGATTTTTGATGCGAGTGTAGGCGGGCAGAGCATCGTCATAAGGGACATACGGTACATGTGGTCGGATATCGATTCACCTCTGCGAGTGTTACTGTTTAGTGTGCAACCAGGGATGCTTGTAATTTTCGGGTATGGTACCTCTGAATGTTGAAGCGCCGCCATCCCTCACGCTTGTTCGTCTTCAGTCTCTCAAGGATGTGGAAGTAGGGGATAGGCGAGTTGGTACCCTCGGCGGGTGGTGCAGGAGAGATGTTAGCTAACACCTTGCCAACCGACCATGGTTCGGAGATCTTGGGTGTCGTTACGATACCAGGGTCTGAAAAATCTCCTAAGTTAGTCTTGGCTTGGGTGAGGTGAGGAGATGGCGACTGACCAATGAACCCTTTACTATCGCCGTTGCTATTTTCCGACGACATCTTGCCTCTTGTGGTTTAAGACACTTGTTGTGATAATCTATGTTAGACTCCTTAAGTCTTGCTGTTACTCGTCGAGAGAAATGTGAAGTCTAAATGGAAAGAAGGTCGTTAAGGTTGCGAATCGGAGAAAAATAAGTAGGAAGAAGAATAGTTTGGGGAGTGAGAATGAGACTGGAATATATGCGAATACTAATACGCAAAGTTGTGGTTTGCTTGTGTTTGTTCGCCTTCGTTTCAGGAAGAGATAATGTCAGGCAACAGGTTTTCCCTCTCTGTTAGTAAGCCTCACATTGACGCCTGAGAAATCTCTCGAAGTTTGTCGGATCTTCCGGTTTCCAGGTGACTTTTGTTAACGACGATGCGAACTTCCCACTGATGGACCCTGACGGTGTAGGGCTATACTCCGTATCAATACTTACTTAGCGCAGCTTGACATTGCCTGGCTTGTCATTGGGTAGTTCTGTAGTTAGCCCCGGTGCCGGACCCCATCAGTATCGTGGGTTATCTACTGGAGTAGCGCTAGACGACTATCTAGATCTAGATAGTTAGTTGTATGTTCAATGATGTCAACAACAAGCGGCAGCTGCCAGTGACAGGAATTCAGACCGTTTTTGCACTCTTGACCCTGCTGGATTGTATTCTCCGCTATAATAGGGCTGGAAATAGTGTAAAAGTGAAATAAGAAGCTCAATACATATCCCATAGTAATTATAACAATTATAAATAAATGATAAAACCGTTCGTTGAATGGCTTGTTGACGGCAACGGAAACGAACGTCTTTAGTTTGCTCATTGATGCAAATAACGATGAGCGCTGTCATTCAATTACTTAATCCGAATTGGTGTAGTGGCCAACATTTGACGCTCTCATAATAGAAGTACCGTCAAGCCCGGGGTTCGATTCCCCGATTCGGAGTTTATTTTTCCATTTTTTTAACATCTTTCGGCAACTTGCACAGCACCATCTCCAGTTTTGTTACTATCATGACACAGCGCAGTTGTTAACTTTTGTGTAATTCGCTGAATATAGTATCATTCCACCCCCTTCCCCCCCCCCCCATTTATTTCAGTAACTCCAGCACGAGCTTCTTGTTCCCATCAATGGCCTCAATAATCTCGCTAACGCGAATCTGTTCGTCGTTACCGTGGGCAACAAGGATCGACCCAGGCCCGTATAGTACCTTTCTATGGTCCCCGCGCAGTCTAGGTATGTCTGTGCCGTACGCCATCGGTTCTGCCTTGAAGCCCTCGAACTCCCACTCCAGCAGCATCTCAGTATATTGAAATTTGAAATCGATATCGACATCAGCGTGCTTGTCTATCACTTCCCTTACCGTCCTCTTGATGCTCTCTATATCCCTCGAAACGCGGATGCTGCAAAGCGCCTTAGCTTCAGCCGCGAGGATGTTGTAGCTCACTCCGCCCTCAATCATGCCGATATTTATCGTTGACGGGCCCAGAAGGTCTGAGACCGGCCACTCGACCACTATGAGGTCGTTCAGGGCAGCAAGGAGCAACGACGTTGCGCTCTTGCCCAGGTGAGGATATCCGGAATGGCTAAGTCCAGGTCATTAGGTCAAGGCAATGTGCCTCCTCTTTCGCTTTCAAGCAGTGTAAGAATGTTTGCGGGGTGCTTGCTTACCAGGCTTTCCCGCGAGCAATCACTTCAAACACAAGGTTGCCCTTGTGTCCTTTCGCCACCTTGCCCTCTGTAGGCTCAGCGAAGAGAGCCGCGTCCCACGTGAGATCCATATTGTTCGCAGCAATCATGCCAGGGCCGCCCTTCTCTTCCCCAACAACCCACAGGAAGCTCACATCGCCCTCCTTCAGCTTTCCCTCAGCGCGCAGCTCCTCCACTGCGAAAATCTGCGCGACCATAGGCCCGAGGTCGTCGCAGGCACCGCGTCCACGGATGACGTCGCCCTCGATGCTGAAGGGGATATGCGGCGGTACCGTATCCATGTGCGACGTCACGAGCAGGCGAGTCTTCCGCGAATGCCCTAAATATGCGAAAACATTGTGGCGTGTAGAATCTGGTGCGATCGGTATCCGCTCCGCGGTGTAGCCGCGGCCCTGTATGTACCTCTCCAGGTATTCACCGATCTCAAGCTCCTTCTCGCTGGTGCTCTCGATGTTGATGAGGGTTTTCAGGAGCTCAACCACCTCCTTTCGGTCTGTTTTGCTCGCCATGATGCTACTTTCTTAGGTAAAGGGGCTGTTGTATCTTGACAGTGCCCTGTGATAATTCGAGTCAGTCTGAAAGGTAAGTGATACCGTTGTACTGGATCGATGGCCAACTATGGGTAGAAAATAGAGTACAACTAGGGCAATGGACGGTGTTAATTGTTGGGGGCTACTTCGGAGAATTGAAGCAACCTGTTTCGGCACGGCTGACTCAGTTTTGTCTCATCAACTGTTACACAAAAATTTAGCCGATATTATTGATGAAATGTTGTGAGAGCTGCACATATACTCTTGATCGGTTCAGGCGGGGTTAGGTTCGATCATCGCTTGGGCCGGCTCCGCAGTTTCCTCGGCTTCAACCAACGTTCAGCCCGGCCGGCCGATTCGCACTCCACTTCTTCCAGCCGTGGTGGAACCGTGAATCCTACGCATCCTGTTAATCCAAAGCATCCTAAATATCTTGTTATTACTTTAAATCCAAACAGTTTCGCTCGCGGTCGAAGTAAGGAAGAGTGAAACTCGATCTTCGCACTGAATACAATGTGGAATAACTACGCTTAGTATCTCACTTTGTCTAGTACTTTTCCCCTGCTTAATAAATAATTAAATTAGTTGTATTACTAAGTTTAAAGTACAAATTTCAATTTAAATAAAAAAAATTTAACATAGTTATTACGTGTAATTTAAAGTGCTATATAATAATAAAACCTAGGCCTACGCCACGACCTGCACACGTTTCGGAGCGGGTAGGCAAGGGAGGCCGGAGGTTTTCTGAAGTGCTTTAACCACACTGACAACCACACCTCCAGCCATAATTAACTAATACAGACCACCTAATATAGACAACCCAATACATACCATTCTATATAAACCACCCTTCGCAACTCTGGAGGGGCTTCGCCCGCGCACCCCGCTGTCGCTCCAGGGGGACCTGCGGCCCGGTGCCACCTCTGTGGCCGGCTGTATGGCTAACTGTATGGCTAACCAGAGGCCTTAAAAACGGCAAGGTACATGATTAGCTGGTTTAGGTAAAACTAGCCTTATTAGGACACTGCAAGTCTCCCTATGTTTTTCGTTCCCTTGATCTTCTATTCAATCATTAAGGTTAGGTTTCCTTCTATTACTTCGTAATACAGAAAACCTCTGGCCATAACGCCGGTGATAACTTTTTAATACCTATTTAATTGATATACTACTCATCGTTATTATTACTAACTCCTAGACTAATCCAACGTACCAGCTTTAAAGATTTTCGCAAGACCTTATACACATATAACTCTCTATACTCTTGTCTTGACACTAACATCTACGCCTTTGTGATGTTTTTGTTTCTAGCGTTGGACAGCCATCCACACGAGAGAGGATACACGTTTCCCGTGAAATCATTCTTCCGGTCCTCGAAGGGAACATCGGGCTCCCAGATTGTAAAGTTGAAGGCCGAAGGGCCACCATAGTTGCCCATAACATTTCGAACCGGATAGTACCGTCCTCCGACGAGATACACATCGGTGCAGTTTATTGGATTCACGTAGCTGTCACCGCTGCTGACCTGGAGCGCCTTAGCGTCTGGGGATGGTTTTCCATCGTCGCAGCTAAAAGCGTTCCCTCGCCCGAAGAACACATCATTCTCGTTATCCGAAGAGGTACAGATCGTAAATATGCCCGTAGTTAGTGCGCGGTAGAAGCCATAATAGACCAGAGCGAAGTTGTTCGCGTTCACTATGATTCCGCCGTTGGTATCGCGTGTCCAACCGTTTGTATCAGCAGGGGAACTGTCTTGGGGGAAGAATGTGATGTTGGTCAGAGAAGAGTCTAGCGGTGAGAAACCCTCTGTGATATAGAAGGACGGGGGCGTGTCTCCTGTTCCGAAACCACCCACAGGGTTCGCGTAGTAGTCACTGTTGAGTCCATTTGCTGCGCAATCAATCCGGGTAAATATCGCACGGAGCTGGCCGGGTTGGAGTGGGAGTTGGCGGGCAAGTCGTGGTTTAACAGGCGTTTCAATGAATACGGTAGCAGGGCCGGTGCAAGGCGTAAAAGTGGTGGAAGTGGTATATATCCCGGTCCAAGGGATTATAGTGGTTGTGGTCGACGTAGGGCGTTGACACATCGCCTTGTGAACAAACGAGGTGCGACAAAGAGCGCCGAGCGAATGAGGGTAATCATGACGGCTAGGATTTGAGGGTGTAGGTATACACGCTTACTATCGGTCTCGGATACCCTGGTGATGGAGGATTAGGTGCAAGCACATCGGAGGGTAAAAACCACATTATATAGACGCCGTGAAGATGCCGTCGCCCTCTCGAGCCTGTTACATCTTATGGATCCATATTGTGCATTGCCCAGGGTGCGAAATTTCCTTTTCTGAATCACCGCTGTTAGGTATAATAAGGTTAGGAATCTGATCAAAGACCAATTGACTAGGTTACTCGAGCGCGCCGTCCCCCCTATTTCAGCTACGCGGCGTTTGAAGAGGGGTTTTTCTGAGTAGAAACAACGCATAGATGTCCTGTTTGAGAGGTATCCAGCTGGTATGTTAACTGATATATTGATTTACGCTGCCATGTTTAGTCAATGGATCGTCGATCGGTTTAAGTTGAAAGCTGAACTGTAACTAATTACTAGCATAGGAAGAGTGCTAAAATACTTTATAACTATATTATTAAAAAAATAGGTCAAGGGTGACATAGTATGTACTGTACTAAAGTATATAAAGCTCTTGTGTATATAAAGAGGTTTTCTTACTTTACTTATAAACAGTTAACTAAGTTAATTAAGTTTTATATACTTTTTATTTTATTAGGTTATAAGCTTAGACTGGTTTTATTATTTAAGTATAAAAGCTAAGTATTATATATTCAAGGGTTAAAATGAGCTAATTTTAAAAGTTATTTATTAAGGTTAAAAATATATCGGCCCGTACATAGTTATATAACTAAAAAAAAAATTAAAAATTAAACTATTTTATAGAAGCTAATTTTCTTTTTCTATATTTTTTTAGAAGAATAAAAAGCTTTTATATACTTTTTTTAACTTAAAATATAAGCGAAAAAATATTTAATATATTTTGTAAAAAAAAATACTAAAAAGTTATTATACCGACTATAGTATAACAATATTTTAATACTATAACTTATTACTATTTAGCTAATAATATTAAAACATTATAAAGTTATAATAATTTTTAAGAAAACGATAACAAGAACTTTATATATAAGAATTTATTAGACAAAACGGAAAAATCTACTATAGATTTAAACAATATTAATATTTTTACTTTTTTAAGCAGGTAGGACTATTTTTAGTTTAAAGCTAAAACGCTTTTAAACTAGCTACCTGCAAAAATATTTTAACTAATTAAAACTATACTTTAAATTATTTTGTTAGATTCGATTTTAAACTTAAAAACAAGTTTTAACTATTTTTAATAATTATAACTTTTTTTATAAAATAATAACGTTAAAAAATTAAAATTATCTAAAAACTATAAACAGTTTTTAAAAGCATTAATATTAACGTTATTAATTTTACTATAATTTTATAAACTTTTACTACTTATACTTTATTTGTTTAGTTTATACGTTATAAATATATTTTAAAATAAAAGTATAAATATAGCAGACTTTATAATAGCTGCTAAGAAAATTACGATATTAAATATTAATATGTTAGCAGCGAAACTAAATTTAATTATAAAACTTTTAAGCTGTAAAAACTATTATAAATAGCGTT